GCTTATGCAAATGAAGCCCGGGAAATTCAAATCCCGGGCTTCATTTGCAAGTGCGGTATGCCTACATTACCCCGCTAGTTCGAACTAGCGGGGTAGTGTAGACATACCCTCCGGTAGCCTAATCTACATGCCTCTGGCGACAGAGGCATGTAGTCTAGATGTACCCTTAGTCTATAAGGGGGGGGCATTCACTATTCCCACTGTCTCTGCCTTCGAATGTAGTAAGAGCTGCCTACAGCTTTTGCTATATTTCAAAGGCTGAGGCACAGTTGGAAACCCAGACAGGGGAGGCAGTTTGTGTGTAGCAAATGAAGGGAGCTCATGCACACAAGTTTACACCCCATAATTCTTCTCTCCCCCCCCCCCCCCCCCCCCGCGTTCCTTCTCCTCTTACCCATCCAAGATGCCAGAAGCTCATGAGTTACTGTTGGAAACATTACACATGTCAAAGTTAGAAATAAAACTGATGAGTTGATTGGAAGGAGATGGGAGGTTTTGAGACAATCTGATATTTACCTGAGCGACTCCAGTCTGGCTTTGGCTCTCTGCAAAGTTGACTGTGCAACACTGATTCAGACAGGTACAGTTATTGTGTACAAACCTTAGAGTCTCATTATTCATTTAACTACCAAAGGGACTAGTTGAAAGCATAAAGGTGCCTTCTTCAGAGTAAAATGAAGAAAACGTCCTTTGCTATCACAACCGTCTATGGATGGCACTGGTAGAAGACAAGAAGTTTTCTGGTCTGTTTAATGGTGAAGATTCTTGCGTGCCTCACCTTAGGAAGAGCCAGCCTGCTTCCCAATCCAGAGGCCACCTGTGAATTCAGTCTACAATAGAGTTCTTCTCTACAAAGTATACGCCAACTGCATGTATATTGTAGAAAAGCCCACTCCAATGCCTAGTATGCTTGGCACCATTGCTACCAGGTTAAGTCAATTCTCAAGGAGGATTGCTCAATCGAAATGCAACCCACTGCCTTTGGTGTTCCTAAACCTGACTGCCAATACCTGGAACTGGATGACAACGGAAGAATCAGTCAATCATTACCATTTCCCATTCATTCCCTCTGAAGCAACTAGCATGGGCCCTGTCAGAACACAGAATACTGGTCAAGGTGGACCATTAGTCTCACTGAGTACGTCTAGACTACAGGCTTTTGTCAACAGAGGCTTTGTCAACAGATACTGTTGACAAAGCTACTGTCGACAAAGAGTGTCTAGACTACATCCAGTTCCGTCAACAAAGCAAGCCTCTTTTTCGACATGAGAGTGTAGACACAAAGGACAGTGTAGATGCAATAATGCCTTCAGTCGACAAAAGGCATTATTCCTCATAGAATGAGGATTACCGCCGTCAACAAAACTGCTGAGTTATGTTTGTTATGTCGACAGAACTCGGCGGTAGTGTAGATGCAGGTATAGTTTTGTCGACAAAAGTCCACTTTTGTCAACAAAACCCGGTAGTCTAGACACACCCACTATGGCCATTTTTATGTTTTTAATTTGAAAAAAACTTGTGATATTGTTTTTCCATCTTAATCATGTGGTGGGAATTATTCCAAAATAAGTTACTGACAAAGTGCCAATTAGCAGAGGTAATTCTCTAGAAATTCAGGACTTGCCAACTGTTGGGGAATTATTTTGTTAAATTTCCAAGGTGCAGAGAAACTCTCAATGATTAAGCAGATCTGACTGGAAGATATTTATGAGAAAGAATATCTGATCTGTGGCGAGGAGTCCTGTGGCACCTTATAGACTAACTGAAGTGTAGGAGCATAAGCTTTCGTGGGCAAAGACCCACTTCACGAAAGCTTATGCTCCTACACTTCAGTTAGTCTATAAGGTGCCACAGGACTCCTCGCCGCTTTTGCAGATTCAGACTAACACGGCTACCCCTCTGATAAATATCTGATTTGACATCACTGATCTCTGCAGAAGAGTTGAAGCACAGTAAATGAAGCACAACTACTGTAAGAGGGTAGCATTTACCATCACTGGGGTGGGATTCTGCTACTGTTATGGGTTTAAAGAGTCACATCCTATACTAAATGAGAAACTTGCACAGGTATCTTTGGAGAAAGACTCCACTCTCCTTGTGGTATTATGCTAGTGCATGGAGACCTGAAGGCAAATGACTAGAAACTAGTATTTAAACTAAATTTTCTATTATCCAAACAGAAGTGCAGAACAAAACAGCAAAATTAAAAGCAACTGGATCAAGTTGGGGGGGGCTTTTACACAAAGATATACCAATGAAATTACAATTTGTAAGAATAACATCATTAATGACTATAATGTTCCTATCAAAGGACCAACAAGAAGATATATTTTAAATCATATGTTAGAATTTTCTTGCATTGTTAGTCTGAAATCAAACTAGAGATACTACTAGGAATGTCAAAGTGTAGACAACTACACAATTAACTGATAAGCCTCGGCTTATTGGTTAATCTTGACTACACACATTCCTCACCCCCTTGCAGCAATTGGGAGATGGGGGGAAAGCCAGTGCCCATGAGCAGCTGGCTTTAAGCAGGCTCCCCACGAGCACTAGATACGTCTGGCCCCTCCAAAGCTGCCTCTGATAGAGACAGAAATGCTGAAGTTGAGGGGGCAAGTTGGAGCCGATACACATAGGGAGCCAGCTTTCAAGCATGCTCCCCGTGCCCGCTTGTCCCCTCCCCCACTGAAGGAGGCAGTAAGGGGGGCAAGCAGAAACTGGTGCTGGAGAGAGCCGACTTAAAAGCTCCCTGGTGCCACTTGCCCCGCAGCGCTGCTGCCTCTACCAGAGGCAGCAGCATTGAGGAGGGAGGGGAGTTGGGGAGGCTACCACAAAGCAGCCTCTGTCCACAGCAGCCCAGGCTCACCACTGACAGACTGGTTCGTGGCAGCAGTCTGTCTGTAGGGAGCTTGAACTCCCCTCCCCCTCAGGACAGGGACTGCTGCTGCAGACCAGCCTCTGTCCCCAGGGAGTTCTGATACTACCCGTGGACAGGGGCTGCTGCCACCCCACACTGGCAAGCAGCCAGACTGTGGGGGAAATGGTTTTTAAACTGGATCCTGCCTGCCATCCTGCACTGCTGCTTGTGTATCAGAGGCAGCAATGCAGGGTGGCAGGGGGCTCCCCAGAAGTGGGGTTGGGAGCATAATGGCTGCCGGCCCATCCCTGGCGATTATCGAATACTCGTGTAACCACTAGGAATTCATGTCAATTACACAATATCTAACATCCCTAGATACCATCTTGTTTCTGTCGAAGTTAAGTTATATGCAAAGCAGCTTTCTATCAAACACTGACTCTGTTCAATACACTTAAGACTTTGCGTTAATATAAGAGTCTTCATATGGATAATCATTCCATAAGAAAACCCTTTTTGGTGATTATGAAAAGAGGACAATTTATAGGGAAGCACTTGGAAAACTTTCAGTTACCTAAAGATACTTACTGTTTTCTATGGTTGGATCATAGGAATCAACAAACTGGCCTTCCACAAACTGAATTGTCAATGAAGATTTCCCTATAAAGCAAGCAAAAGAATATTTAAATCCAAAATTAAATGCTACTATACAGAAACATACTCTAATCAGTTAATGAAGCCATTAGAGAGAGTTTGCTACCAGGTATGAAGTGATATAACAATAATCAAAGTTCAATGTTTTATGAAACAGGCATACAACCGTGGCCCCTGGCTACATTGAACCACTGTTACTAAACATACTGATTCAGTAGCCTGTTCTCAGTCAATACTGAAAATTATGTAAGAGCTAGCACAGACAGGTCTGACAAGCGGCTCTGTTTCCTAGCCTAGGCAGGGCACCCACTCTAGTTCATAGTAGTGGAAACCAATTTCTAATCCAAATGGTGCTAGCAGGTAGTAGGATGGCAGTACCCACAACACAAGATTTACATATTTAATTAAAAAGACAAGAGCTATGCAAGAGAAAACAGGAACTTAACACTATCAGAAAAAGGAAGGGAGCAAGATGCTAAATAATGGCAATAATAAAAATCCCTGCAGCATCAGGATTAAAGGATCGAGTTCCTTCCACACAAAGAATTAAGGGCAAAATCAGCCACCTGATATATGCAGGCATTCTATCACCTATTACAGTACTGGGAGTGGTGAACAGTTACATGTAGCACTTTGGAACATTAAAAAATATGGCCATGCCAAATCAGATAATTATATTTTTATTAAAAAGCATTAATCTAACCTCAAGTAGTTTAAGGAATTATACCACTATACAATTATACCAATATAAAATTTTCGTAACTGTTTCTCTGATGAAGGCAGTGAGTTAAGTGCCTCTTAGATTGAAACAAAGTTAAGATGTTAGGATCCAAATTTGTCTTTCAAGTCATACTAGTAAGAAACTTAAAATTCACATTCCATTAACCTCAATTAATTATGAAATGTGTGGACAGGCTATTCTTAATCCAGGGGCCTGTGATCCCAGCCTTTATGGTTTTGCAAAGCTACACTGTTAAACTGATGCAAGAATCTCGGATCAACTCCAAAAACAGTGATAAGTGTGAACCAACCTATTTATCTCAATAATAGGACAAAGACTAAGAGGGATATACTTAAGATCCTGCCCACATTTAACTTGTAAGTCATGGTTAAGATGTAAGAGTTAGTCACAAATAATTCGATTTGTAGCTACCCAGCAACTTCAGTCATAGAAGCCATATGTGTGCTTATACTTTGAGGGAACAAGCATGCAGAGCACAATGAGTGGTAGTGCAAGCCAAAAGGTAATACTTCAAAAAACTGGGAAGGAGAATTGGCCAACCAATTTCAGAAAGGTAAATAGCGTGCTTGATTATGTTACATCAGTGGTCCCCAACCTTTTGAGGTTGTCGCGTGCCCAGGGGGCGGGGCCCCCTCCAAGGTCTTGTGGCTTCCTATAGCAGCCAACAGAGATTGACCTCTGCTGGAGGTCTAACCTGGCTCATTTTGTCTTCATGTAACACCATGGTCCCCAACACGGTGCCCGCGGGCGCCATGGCGCCCGCGGGCACCGTGTTGGGGACCATGGTGTTACATGAAGACAAAATGAGCCAGGTTAGACCTCCAGCAGAGGTCAATCTCTGTTGGCTGCTATAGGAAGCCACAAGACATTGAAAACCAGTACTGAGAGATTTTCTACACTACAGCTTGAACCTCTTTAGTTCAAAGCACTCTGGTCCAGAAACTTCTGTCATCCGGAATGATTTTAGTTAGCCGTATGTCAACTTTTAATGGGTGTGACCAACTTTCCCACGGTCCCATAAAGTCTGTTTACAGCCACCAGTCCTAGCTCTCAGTGTTCTGTGGTGTTATTTAGCCCTAATTTACCCCAAATGTCCTCTTAACAGCCCTGTAAGCAGGGGAAGTGTTGATTATGCTGCTAGACAATATTGACCTCCTGTGGTCTAGAAAATTCTCTGGTTCAGAACTGGTCAGGTGCCAAGAGTGCTGGACTAGAGAGGTTCCACCTACAGAGGTTGGAGAAGCATGTGACAATATCCCCAATAAGCCTTGCATTCCCTGTAAGAATTTTACAAATGTTGGATGGCAGCATTCACAATTGATAAGGAATGACATGCAACAAATACTAGAGAGCTGGTTGACGTTCTATGCTGCATCTATTTCCCTCAAATGTTAAAGAGGAGTAACAGTATCACACTAAGGAGCTGACAGAAAACACCACCAAAAAGATTTTTAAAACCCCCACAAACAACAAAAACCCCTTTCAACCTAACAGAATATACACGTCAAGTTAATTTAAAAGCGTAAACTTAAGTATTTTTATGGGTCAAGAAAAAGTTCATGGGTCTACTTCTCCTTCAACAGCTATTACTACCTAAAGCTATAAAGAAAATACTGATTCGTACACCATTTAATTAAGAGAACAGACATCAACTCTTATAGGGGAGGAGCACCTTGATCTTAGGTCTTTGCAAAGTATGTGCTTACAAATCTACCAGTAGACAGATGACTTAGTTTGCTCTTTTGACCACGTGAATCCTTTCAAAAGTTGAATTGATCATTTAAGCTGAAACTTAGGCAACTACTGCAGATTGAATTTGTTTTGTCCAGTTAAATCTTTTTAGATGGTAAGGGAACCTGTCTGCCCTCAGGAGGCATTTTGCTAAATGCTCACATTAGTAGAGCCCTACGCAGATAAAGAAATTGGTATCCGCATCTGAATTTGCAAAAATGATCTGCACATATCCATATCTGTGGATGTGGATACTCAGAGATCTACAAATTTGCAAGGTTCCCGATAGAATTTTTTTTTAATCTGCATCCATACCTGTAAAAGTGAGCCACAGATATCCATGGATTTGCAGGACTTTACACATTAGCCAGGATTCTCCAACTCTCAGCCTTCTGATAAATATTTTCCCTGAGCACTATTTCAAGCAATACAACATGCTGCTTTTCAGAGATTACTGGATACTGCCTGATTTGATAAGGGCTGTTTTAGAAAGAATACCTTTCCCTGACCCCAAGTCTGAATCTAGGGGTCGGCAAAATACAGCCCACAGGCTGGATCTGGTCTGCCATATCTTTGGATCTGGCCCACCACGGATCCTGTACCTGGCACCAATGTTTGCCTGTACCTGGCATTCCACTCCCACCCCACAACTTCATGCTCCAAGTGGTTACAACCCAAAGTCCCACACCCCATCCTACACAAGGGCTGTTAGCAACTAGCCTGATACCCATTTAACCAATAAGCTAGTGCAAGCTGGCAGGGGATCTTCCCAGAAGTGCAGCCGGGACTGCACTGGCTGCCAGTCCCATTCCCCAGGAGGAAGCATTTAGTAATCATGTAATCGCTAATTGCTGCAGCTAAAGGATTATCTACTAGGCTTATCGGTTAATCTAGTCGACTACTTGCATCCTCCCCTCTGCCCTGCTGCCTTTGATACAGTTTAAAGGCAGTTCCCTCCAGGCACTGTCACCGCGGTGCCACCTGCCCCCTCCCTGGCATGCTGCTGTCTCTATCAGAGGCAGCAGCGCAGGAGAGGCTGCCACAAAGCAGCCTCTGCCCACCGTGGGCCCAGGCTCACTGTGTGCAGAGGCTGCTGCCCATGGACAGGGGCAGCTTCATGGCAGCCTTCCCCGCTCCAACATCCTTTGTCCAGAAGGAGCTCAGGCCTCATGGACAGGGGCTGCAGCCACCCGTCTGTACGGGGAGTGGTTTTTAAACTGGCTCCCCTCACGAATCGGCTCCCGCCTGGTACCCTGGGAGTAGGGCCATACTGCACTGGCTTCTGCCCCCACTGCCAGGGACGACAGAATAGCTGACTAACCGCTAAGATTTCATGCGGTTAGTCGACTACTGTATTACCTGATAGCTAACATCTCTAGCAGGAACTCAACTGTACTAGCCCTATCCCCTTACTGTACAAGTCTGCTTACAGCAGTAAAGTGCCATAAAAGAAAAAACCTAGTTAATACCCTAACAAATACAAAAAAGTCAAAGTCTGTAGAGTAGAAGTCTCTAGGATGGCAAATAGTATTGAACACAGGACATTAAAATAAGGTCAAGCAAAGGTAGGCCAATCTATAAGAGAAGCCTGTAAGGAAAAAACAAGAAAAAAAAAAAAGCTGTGTTTTTGCCATGCACTCTGGTACATGTATTGGACTTTGAAGGGATTCCAATGAATGCGGCCCATGATTTTAATAGCTGTTTTAGAAGCACATGTGCCCGAATGTTTTTTGCTCACTCCCAACCTATAATTAAGGCTCTTTTGAATGGTGAGAAGTTCTGTTTAGTAAATGATGAAACTCCAGAGCTTTCCAGACAGCCAGCAATGAATGTCCTTGCAGCTTTCAACAATGACAAAAACCGTCAAATACTATTTGCTGAAATCCTCTGTTCTTCAGTGCAATATAGGGGTCATTTTAATTTGGTTTTAGGAAGTGCTGCAGGTGTACAACCAAATGTAGGAAAGTGTGTCAGGCAAGGTCTACACTTACCCCAAGATTGATACTCCAGATATCGATCTTCCAGGATTTGATTTAGTAAGTACTTGCTAGATCAGGGGTTGGCAACCGGCATGTGAGCAGATTTTCAGTGGCGCACAGTCCGCGGCAGGAGCTCAGTTCCCCCCTGTTCCCCGGAGCCGCACAGCTGTAAGGCTTGGAATACTAGCTCCATCTTCTAGGCACACAGGTAAGGGGGAGGTGAAGGAAGTCCCAACTTGTGTCCGCCCCCAGTGTCCCCAAGAACTGCCCCAGCTCTCCACCCACCTCTACTGGGTGGCCCAGGGATGCCATGCAGAGCAAGGACAGTCCCCCTCCCCTTCATGTGCAAACTGCTGCTCAGCCCTCCCTGGCTCTGCTGGCATGTGGGGACCCACAGGTGGGGGGGGGGGCGGG